TCAAATGTATTTGTATCCAATCAAAGAGAGGATGAATACAATTGTATGATTTGTATTTCGAATACAATTGTTAAAACATAAATAAAGAATACAATGCAAAATAAATACAAAATATAATTTGTTGTATCTCGAATACAATTGATACAAATTAAATATAGAATATATATAATGCAAAATAAATACAAAATACAATCTCTCTCCTCCCTTTCTCGATCTCGCTCGCCTCTCTCTCCTCTCCTCCCCCCCTCTCTCTCTTGATCGCCTCTCTCCTATTAATATGTATTCATTTTGACACAAATCAGTTTGTATTTGTGTTTTTTTCTCTCCAAAATTCGCGAAAAATACACTCTCTCCTCTTTCTCTTGGATCTCGCTCGCCTCTTTCCTTCCTCATCCCCTGATATTTTTTAATTACTTGTAATTAAGCAAAAACTATAACCGTAGAATGTCTAATGTTTGCTATTTTTGAAAGTTTTCCTTTGATTAATTGGCTTTTGAATTCTCTTGATTTGCAAGGAGCAGGTCTTAAGGAGAAGAAAAATGAAGTCTTTTGAGCCAAAAATGTCTCAAAAAGTGAATTTAGTTTGTCATTGTTTTTTCTAGTGACTTTGAAGATTATAGTAATAATTTAATAAAGAGAAAGTAATGAATAATGTTAAGAAAAATAGAGAAAATTGTGTTAGAATTTATGTAACTCTTTCAAATCTTGGATATGGATAAAATGTTGTTGGGAGTGCCACCTCCGAATGAGTCTTACAGTGTGTGTGATCTGAATTTAGTTGGGGCTGCAATGTGGCTCCGAACATTGGGTGGACAATAAAAAAAAGAAACTCTTTCTTTTGAACTGTTAAAGAAGACAACTTTTAACAGTTTTTTTTTGGATAATTTTTTTAGGTTTATGGTAAATGATCAAATTGAACACGTTTTGTTATACACTAAGGACCATTTCAAGTGAAATATATCAAGGAGCAAGATAACAATCCTTATACATCAAGGATCATTTGTGACACCCGCCCGTTTGAACATTGGAATTAACTCGTACTTTTGGAATAAGTCTAAGACTACCTACCATATTAGGAAGAATGTTAAATGAGTTATTTTGAGTGCAAATTAAATGTTTGTATGTTAAGTTTTAAGTTCAAGGAAGTTGCAAAATAAAAGTCGGCAAAAGTTTTTGTAAATGTCATTAAGGAATTCTCTGTAATTTAGGGTCAGATGTCTCGGCAATTTTCTCGGAATATATAAAGAGCTAGAATATCAATGGCCTATCAAATCGAAGGTCTACAAGTCTAGTTTCCAATGCGCTAAACCATTCATCAATACAACTTCAGAATTGAGAGATATGCAAGTTTTCGTGAAACTGCGCAAGCAGACACCTCGAAGTGGGTCCCACCAGACCCTTAGTCGGTTATTCTTTAAATACACCCATCTCCTTCATTTTTCCCATTACAACTGATCAAAAAATCCAAAAAAATCAAAACTCATGCTACTAAATCCTCCATGGGTGATGATTATTTCACCTTAGAAGTTTAACGAAAGTTTCTCCAGATCGCGTTGTGGTATAATTTTCTTATTGATTTGGATTCCGATTGTTGTAGCTGCAAAGAGGAAGAATCTTAGTATTATTATTTCAGACATTTTGGTTGAGGTAATCTTATTTTTGCAACCATCCTTCATAGTTCCATGTCGTAGTATTATATATATCGATTTTTGAGCCACGTGGTGGTGTTTTCGGTATTGTGGTTGTGGGCAGCCCCTTTGTCTTATTTGATTTCGTTGTTATTGTTGTTTATTGATAGTTTTAAGGTGCTGGAGGTTATTGGGGGTTGGTTTGATTCTTATTGGAGTCGCGTACAATGGTTGTTGGATTGAATGGCGTGAAGTACACCTAGTTATGTTGCCTCGGGAGCTTGTGCTCCTTCGAGACGTTGTTGGAATGTCTTCGATGGATTTAACTGCTGATTATTGTTGTTTTCGACCTCATTTTATGGGTTGGACTTTTCTGGTCATGAGTGTGGCATTAGCGTCTTATTAACTACTTATGGTTCGTTCTTACAACCTTGTTGATTTTTCCGTTATTGCGTCACTTTGGTTGGCCAAACATCATAGAGAAAGCTTTTGGACATTGGTTGAAAGATATGTTAAGGCTATTATTTATCTTCTGGTATGATCCTAATGGCCTAAGCTTGTTATGACCAGTGTATTATCATTAGTTGACATGTAGCCCTGTCCTATTGAGTTGGCTATGCCCATATGATATAATGTCTATCGGCGACACTCTACTCCTTACTTAATAGCCTAAAAAAGGTGGTTATGATTCTATTTTGATTAATTATGATTAATTGTTATTGTTGTGATGTTTTATTGTTGGCCTAAGTAGGCATTTGACATTGCAGGGTTCTTGAGCATACAAATTGATTTTTATACCGAGCCTACGGGACGGGTAGACTGAGCCTTTGGGCCGGATGGACCGAGCCTACGGGTCGGATAGACCGTGCCTACAGGCCAAGTAGGTTGTACCTACGGGGTAACATATTTTTATTGTACCACAGAGCCTCAGATTCACTTTGATTCATGGCACACCTACGGAGCAACATATATGTATTGTACCAAAGAGCCTCAGATTTGCGTTGATTCATGGCACATGTACATTAAGACAATTCATATCATATTAACATTATGATCCAGGTAAGGGGGCTAATATGGATATTTAGCGATTGTTTGCGCATATTAGGACCTATAGGGATTGTGTGTTGTTTGTATCTACTGGGCTTGTGGGGACCAGGTTAGGTTATTGCTTTTTACGTGCTTATATTTTTATGTTATAGGGAGCTACGGTATTATACTTCGGTCTCATCCTAGCCCTTTCCATTTAGTTTTTATACTTCAGTTTCAGCTTTCAGTTTACCTTACATACTCGGTACATTATTTTATACTGACACCCCTTGCTTGGTGGCGTTGCATTCATGCTTCCAGGTCCTAAGCGACGACAAAAGAGACCTGTCGAATAACCCAACCACCTATCAAGCATATTTGTTGACTCCTTTCTTCCAGGGGTGCCAGAGATCCAGAGGTTTGCTTATTCTTCTTTTTAAAGATTTTGTGTAGGCCGGGGCCTTGTCCCGTCCAAGTGTTATATTCGTAGAGGCTTGCAGACTAGTGTGTTGGGTTGTTTGTCACGTTATTGGCCATGTTGGCCTTGCTTTCTAGTCGATTAATGTTTGATAGTTTCTTGGCATATTGTTTATATTAATTCCTATTTTCAGTTTCTGTATAGAGATCATGGTGGTTTTGATGGCCCACATAGCGTTTATGCTTTCCTAGATACCGTGGTAGTCTCGACGGTATGCTAGCCGGTTATTGCTTAATATAAACTGTTGAGAGTAGTTGTTTTCCTTGCAGAGCTTTTGATAAGGGGCTTGCCGGTCGATGACTTATTTTTAAGCCGAGATATACTTGTTTATTTTCTTAACTGTGTGTGGCTGTCATACGCTGTAAGCAAATGGTTAGCAGGGTCGGCTTAGGCCTAATTTTGGCATTAGGTGCCATTTGTGCCCCTTAAGTTTGGGGTGTGACATCATTTTGATCGTTTTCTCGTTTATGTTGTCAATACTTTACTCCCCCACAATTTTTTCATCATAAATTTTTACTCTTGGTTTTTTTAAGTCTATTTTGAAATGATTTTTTTTAGCCAAACTTCTCAACAGAAAAATCAATAAATTTGATTTAAAGTAGGAATAAAGTTTATGTACATTCATTTTTATTAGATCTCACTTATAAAAATCACACTAAAAATATTGTGTTGTGAAATATAAAAATAATTAGAGTGAAGAGTTAAATACACACCTCAATTTTTTATTTTTTTTAGTTCCATACATAATTATTGGGAATGTGAGAAACACACCTAAACGATCACTCAAGTTTGAGAATCACACCTCAAGTAATATGTGATGGTGTGTGTATTACACTCTTACTTAAAAAAAAAAAATTGCCACGTGAAAAAATATTCCACTATTTTCTCTCACCGTGTGTCAATAATTCCGAGTAAAATTAGGAATATTTCACTACTAAGCCACAATTTTGTAATAGTTTAAACATCGTTAATGATTTGCCAAAAAGAGTTAGGATTCTTATTCTTTATCTCAAAATATTGATGATTTTGTATAAATTGAAAAAAAATAAGTAATATTGGTGAAGAAATGAAGAAAAATGATGATGAAGAAGAGGAAGGTTAAATAAGGATTTTATAAATCGATTGGAATATATGTCAGCAAATAAAGAAGAATCACCTATAAACGAAAATTCAAGGCTAGACAGCCCTAAATGAATGTGTATACACATATTTGGTCTCGTAAGCATTAAGACGTATCTCTTAAATTAATCAGTGATAATTTAACTCTATTTTTTATACTAAGTTGGGGTAGTTAGAAAGCCAATCAACTGAGTTGTTACAATCCTCCTATGTTCTGTATAATCATAAATAAGAACTATGATATTTTTTTTTCAATTATACAATTTGACATACGAAAAATATGGTCTAATGATCAATGAAGTGAGTTGAGAATCATGAGATCTCAAAAAATTCAAATTTCAGTAAAAACAAAAAATACTAGTAGATGATTTCTTCTTATTTGGCCTATCTTTGATAGAACTAGTCGAAATGCGCACAAACTAGCCTAGAGACACCATGGTTATCAAAAAATAAATCGTAACTTTTGCTTATAGTAGTGAATGATTTTTGTGTAAACAAGTCTTTAATTTTACTACCAAGAATTGTTTCAAACATGGTCCTATGGTCTAGCGGTTAGGACATTGGACTCTGAATCCAGTAACCCGAGTTCAATTCTCGGTAGGACCTTCACTTTTTTATTTTTTTAACTAAATTGATTACTTTCTTGTTTTATAACTCTATGATTAACAAAGTATATTCTTTCATAAGTGAATACAAAATGCTTTGTATATTGAGTTGTCCTTTGTTAATAAGCAAATACGGAATCTTGATTTTGTTGGGAAAAATGCAACCATGATATATCAATCTATTTGAAGAGGGAGCTGTTTCTTGAGAAAAAAAAAATTCTTGCAACTATGAAAATCACAATACAAGCACTCCCTTTTCCATTTGTTTCTTCGAAGAAGAATTTAGCATAGATCACAACCACCTATGCTTGTTTCTCGTCCTTTGGTCACTCCTCTTACTAGTGGTATCGAGCTTCCCAAGTTGGATGTCACTTCCTTCTCAGATCCCATCTATTTCATTCTTCTACTGAGTCGACTAACTTGATGGAGATAATTCAACCTACATCATTCTTCAAGAAAAATTTCTAAAGTCTTTAACAAATATGGCACACCAATGAACTAGAAATGTGATTAATATGCAACAAAATTTTCACCAAAGAGTTCATCATCTGCTATATATACCTAAAATATACTTTTGACCTTATATGTATAGTGAAATTGTTGAACTTGAACTAGGGGTCTTTCAAAAACAACCTCTCTACCTCCATGAGATAGTGATGAGGCCTGTGAACACTCTAGCCTCCCCGACCCTACTTATGAAGTTTCATTGGATATGTTGTTGTATATATAGTGAAATTTTCCTGCAACGGGTTCATATGAACCCCTTCCAGCCCTGTTCAGTACCTATTGCTCAACCATGCCAATATGTCACTATGAACCACCTCAATATTTTCATCAAGTCTTTGTAAACAACAAAGAATGCATCACACCATCATAAATTTCAATGTCTTTTCTGTGCTTTTAGCCAATTTATACTATTCCCTGCTCACTTCTGGATCAGTGACAACATCAGCACTCCCATGTACAACAACAACAACAATAACAACATAGTAAGATCTGAGGAGGGTGGTATGTATGCAGCCTTACCCCTACATTATGAGGGTAGAGAGGATGTTTCCAAAATCAACAACTTGTAATACCGAACCAGGAATGGCAGGTTGCGCCCACATATTAGACTATTCTCTTGAGTATTATGTCATATTTCACCATCATAGGTATCGGATAACTTTCTCCATCAAAGCTTAGTCAAATAGAAAGAAATCACAATTGTCTAGAGTACATGCTATCACAAGCATAACTACCGGATAACTTTGCCACTACAACTTAGACAAATAAAAAGAAATCACTTAAGCATAAATAACATGCTTTCCCATAGTCATGCAGCAACATGATTCATTCATAAGAAAATGTACAATCTTGATTAGTCTAAATGGAAAGCTTTGCCATGAAAGTCTGCAAAATACAGATAATCCAGTCTACATCATTCATGGAAAGAGAACTTCTAAAGTTTGTATCTTTAACAAATATAGCACACACTAATGAACTTTGAATGGGATGAATATGAATATAATCCAAGTATAGACTTCTCCACACAAGCGGCGAAGACAAGTTTTACAGCAAAAGGTTCATCATCGACTATACATACCAAAAAAAAACTTTTAACCATGTATATATAGTATGATTTTCCGGGGAAGGATTAATATAAACCCCTTCGATCACTCTAGCTCCTCCTCTGCTCAACATCTATCATTCAACCATGCCAATATGTCACTATGAACAATCTCAACATTTTCATTAGTCTCTCCAATCAAACAATATGATTCAACAAAGTTGTAAAACATCCATTCATAAGCAAACACAGAATGCTTCAAAGCAAATATCCAAACTTGATTCTGCTGAAAAAAATGCAATCTTTATATCTAGTCTACTTGGCAAGCTCTACACATCATTCTTAGAGAAAAAAACTTCTAAAGTTTGGATCTTTAACAAATATGACACACACTAATGAACTAGAAATGAGATTAATACGAATCAGATATGTATTTAATCCAAGTGCAGACAATTCAGCATGAGTGGCGGAGACACAACTTTCATCAATCATCAAGGGTATTGTATATACCTAATAAGTACTTTTGACCTTGTATATATATTGTGATTTTCCAGCAACGAATTCATACGAACCCATTCAGCTCCTCTAGATCCTCCCCTTCTCAGCATCTATCATTCAACCATGCCAATATATCACCACGAACAATCTCAACATTTTCATCAGTCTCTCCAAACAACAAAGAATGCATCATACCATCATAAATTTTCAGTGTCTTGTCTGTACTTTTCGCCAATTTATACAATTCCCTACTCACTTCTGGATCAGTAACAACATCAGCACTCCCATGTAACACCAAAAATGGCATATTCACATCACATAGTTTGCTACTAACATAATCAGTCACACGTAAAAGCTCAAGAACAGTACCCAATCTTGGTTTTCCAACATACCTATTAGGATTCCTCCCACCAATAATCCTTTTTTCAGGTACTTTAACAGATTTTTCCAACAAATCAGTTGTTGGTACAACAGCCAAAGTTGGTGCAAATCTTGCAACTAATGTCAAGAACTGAGCAACTGGCCATATGGGTTTCACTTTATCAGAGATTTTACACATGGGGGCTATCAAAATCCCACCATTAAACTCTTTAGGTCTTATAAAATGAATCAAAAGACAAATTGCACCACCCATTGACTCACCAAAGAGGAATTTAGGCAAATCTTGAAATTCAGGATTTTGGGTCAAAACAAAATTGAAAAAAGACAAACAATCATCAATAACTAAATCAAGATTAGGTACATAAGCTTTAAGACCTTGAGATTGGCCATGCCCTTCAAGGTCCAGAGCAAAACAAGCAAAACCCTTTTTAGCTAAGTGAATTGGGGTTGCTTGAAATGTCCAACTGGTATCATTTCCATAGCCATGGACCATAAAAATGATACCTTTAGGTGGGGTTTTTGTGGGGGGTAACCATGATCTTGTGAAAAGGGTTAAACCTCTAGGTGAAGTGAAAAAAGATTTAGTAGATTTGATACCTTGGAGAGTATAGTAATCTTCTTCTGGAGTATTTCCCCAATAATGGAGGAGAGGAGATTTGTTTTGCTCTTCCTCCATTATAGCAAATGAGTTTTCTTCTCTTTGGTTGTGAAGAAGAGAGAACAACAAAAATGAGTGGTCAATTTTTTTTTTTGGTTTTTCATTTAGATTTTTTACTCGTATTGGAGTGACTAATTCATATTTATATAAAATTGAATTTCATTTGGGTGAAACATTCCTTTCAAACATTTTTTCATATTCATGATTTGAACTTGAAATTTCTAATTAAGAAAGGTAAAATCTTATCTGATGCACCATATTCTTATTCACATTTATAAAAGTTCTATCTTTTTGGTTCCTAATCAAATTTTTTGACATATTTGTTGGAAGTTCCTATTGTGGTTTAAGGGTTTTTTTAGAGTCCGTTTGGATTGACTTAAAAAAATAGCATTTAAGTCAAAAATAAAAAGTCAAATTGAAATGATTTTTAAGTCAAAAAATAAAAAGTAGGAGGAGAGCTACTTTTGGTTTCTGAATTATTTTAAGTTATTTTTTACCTTGCCAAACACTTTGTAACTTATTTTAAGTTATTTTTTATATTTGTCAAACACTTTCAGAAGTCAAAAACTGACCTAAAAGTAAGTTTGACTAACTTTTAAGCCAATCCAAGCACCCCTTAGTCATGTTGAAAGTCAACTCAATCAAATTGGTAATCAAGTTGTTGTTGGAAAATATTATTGAGTCAGGTTCATTCATAAGCGATGTTAATTAATTCATAAATGGATTAGTTAGTATAATAATAATATAATCAGTATAATGTAATAAGTGAGGTTGAGAAAGATATAAAATATATACAGATTTTACTTCTATACCTTGTAAAGGTAGAAAAATTATTTTTAAAATCAAATTGGTAATCAAGTTGTTGTTAGAAAATATTATTGAGTCAGGTTCATTCATAAGCGATGTTAATTAATTCATAAATGGATTAGTTAGTATAATAATAATAATATAATTAGTATAATGTAATAAGTGAGGTTGAGATAGATGTAAAATATACACAGACTTTACTTCTATACCTTGTAATGGTAGAAAAAATATTTTTAAAAGACTCTCAACTCAAAAAGAACAAATTAGATAGTCCTAAAAAAACCATAGTTATTGAGCTATAAATATATAATTATTGTAGACATTGAAATTTTGTGGGATTCTATAAGGTGTGTGCAAATCTAATTAGGATTCTTAGAGGCTACTCAACCCTAAACCCCACTTCATGTCAAAGGATACTATATTCCCTTAAAAGACATCTCGAATATTCTGCGAAGTCTAGAATATTTATAGAGAGATCAAAATCAATCATCCTAGTTCGAGAAACACGTCACTAACGACACTCGAATCACGGATAAATCTTTTGAGAAAAAATTGTACTCACAATCTTGATCAATAAAATTATGTTTCTTCATATTTTATTTCATATTTTATTTGTGATTGCTGTTTAATTTCTATCACTTTTAAAATTTGTTGCAAACAATTATGGTGTAGGATAATAAGATTTTTCTTACTTTTTTTGTTAGGGAAAAACAATGACTAGGTTACTACTTTCTTGCAACATACTAAAATATTTAGGCTGTGGACAAAAGATATTAATTATAATTCTTAGGAGCTTGCCTTCCACCAAAAAAATAATAATATGCCAATGCCAACTTAGAAATTTGACAGGAACAAAATTAAAGAAGACTATGAAGACTAAAAAAATGCTTGAAATATAATACATACTATATTATTACAATATTAAAAAAAAGTGATTGCCTCCTTGCAAGAGTTACTTTTGCAATCACTCTTTCACTATGGGAATACTCATTATTTTTCACTATAATAATATTACATATTATACAATTTCAACAATTTTAGAGCTAGATATTTTCAACAATTACATGAAACATAATCTTAGATTATGTGAAACAAACCCTTTTGTAGACCAACCAAAAGAATTATAATTCTTTGGATTTTGCCTTTTAACAAAACTTATCCCAATACCAACTTGTTGTTTCATGTTTTTCTCATGATTGACACATGCATTGACTTGGATAATCTCAATCTTTTTCTTTTTCTTCTTTTCTTGAAGTGGCATTATTTGAGTTTGTTCATTTTGACCAAGTGGAATGTAAATAGCTCTCATTATGTCTTCAAGTATTGCTGATTTTGTATCAAATAAATTGCAAGAATTGAAGAACATGTGAAACACATTTAAACAAGAAAGGTGAAGGAGCTTCATTGTTCTTGGCATATCATTGAATCCATCCATTAAAACATTTTCAAGAAATTCTTTCTTTTTATCTCCCAAAATCACTTTCACAAAATCAATTGAATCTTCAATTTGTCCCCTAGGGTTTTCATTAAAATGAAGCAATGTGTAGTTCATCTTCCCAACTTCCCTTTCTTTCTGCATATGATCAATAAAATAAAGTTAGTATATGTACAAATTCATATAGTATATGTACAAAATTCGTCGCTAAATATCCTCTAGCTATACGGATTGAATTGTGCCAATAGATTGACATCACTTTATGTCAGTAAGATAATGTAACTATAAATAATTTCATTAAGGCGTGATAAACTTTGTTAGATGGAATTATTAATGAACTTACTTGATAGCTTTGGATGTCATTCAACAAACGAGTTGTGGTCATGAGCAACTTTGTAATGTTTTCATATTGGCCATTAATTGGCCCAAACATTTGATTTGGCAAAATTGAACATCCAAGAGAAGCAGCATGAAGAACTAAAATATGTGCACCAATTGAAATCATGCCAACTTGTAGATATTTATCCCTAGATGGCAAATTTGAAGTTCTACTCCATAAGCTTTCCATCATCCATGCATCAAATGTCTCCTTCCACTTTTAAAAAATAAAAATAAGAAGAATTAGCTTAAATAGTCGTTTATCAATTAATTTGAATATAATCGATGGATATGTAATATATCTATAATATGTGTATAATTGTGTATAATCAGTATATAATTTATGTGTACGACTAAAAAAAGTAAACAGTAAATCTAACCAGCTATTTGTGTAAACATTTCGTAAAACAACAACATTTTTATATTTGGAAATGAATTTTGAGGGTGTACAATAATAATATGTATATGCATAAAATAATAATATTTGAGTCCTTAGGTCAAAGGGTGTTTAGTTGAACATCCATCATCGAATGATTATAGTTCTCTCTCTTTATATATGTATAATTATCATTGGCGATATTCTTAATCTTGTCATGCTATATATACAACACAACTTTCGATTAAAGGATATTCAACTGATCACCTTTCGATAAATATTGCTTTGCCCCTCCCTATACTATACCCTACTTATAGGGATAAACAATGGTTCATATATTTTTCTTCAAATTTGAGTTTAACTTTTATATACTGACAATTAAAAAAATGAGAAAACTTACCATATGTCGAAGTTGTGGGGTGATGTCAATTTTGTGTTGAAGATGATACATTTTGGCGACATCACACACAAGATCATCAAGTGCTTCAAATATGATCTTACTTGGTCCATCAAGATTCTTTGCATCCCACCTATGACAAAATAATAATAATTAATTAACGAGTTTAAATTTTATACATTAATACTATAAAAAATATTTACACGATCAGATTATATATAAAAAAAATTATTGAATTACCTTTGTATTGCCTCACTTAAGATATGTAGTTCACTTAAAGAGGCTTCTTCATCATAAAAATCATCAGCAACAGTAATAACTATGGAACATTTTGCAACAATTAATCTAAGAAAAGATTCATAAGGTAGAAAACTACTACTACTTGCTGCACTTGCAAAATAAGAATAAGTAGTTTTTTCTCTCCCAAATCCAATATCTACAAGGCCTTTCTCTTTTGACCACCTACAAATCCACAAATAAAATAAAACAAATAAATACATTAAATAGAAAAAAAAACCTTTATTGTAATGACTAGAATGATGTAATATAATACAAATGTAATTTATATAGACAGACAGTATGAAATTGTTTATACTGCGAGTAAAGATAGAATTAGAATTTGAAATTTTATAAGGGGTTTAGATTTTAGTTATCCTTTCTACATTTTAAATTTATAATTGTACATATTTAATGATTTTTTAAGACAAATATAACGTCTCGATCAAAGCTATTCAATTCTATCAAATTTGTACCATAAACAGTGCATCCAATCTTGATTATGAGGATATTTTAGCTCTTGTTTGACCATAGATTTTGAAGTTGAAATTTGAAAATTTGAGTTTTTGAAGTTGTGTTTGGAGTTTGGACATGCACTTTATTTGGGGGAAAAATGAAGTTCTGTGACTGGAAATGAAATTTCTCCAAAAACTAGTTTGGGTCCATTTTTAGAAACTTGAAAATATTTTGAAGATATATTTTCAATGTCTAATAAAATTTTATGATCAAACAAATAATTTATAAAGTTAAAATTATCGATAGCATTATTATTATATTTGAAGATAAAAGGGCATTGTGTTTGTACCTCTTTAGGTCTTCCAATTCCTTCCTATAAATTGACTGTCGATATTCATAATTTTGCACAGCTAATTGCATTAGCTTTTCATTTTGCAGATAAGCCAACCTAAGAAAATTAACATTTTTTAAATTAAATAATAATATATAATTTATGTAAATAAAAATAATAAAATATACTTACCAATAAAATGAAGATTTTGCAATAGAGAGAGGGATAGATTGATTTAATTCAATCCATAATCTGTGATCAAGCTGTTCTAATCGAGCAAACCATGGTACATTCAACTCATGCTCAATCTATAAATAAACAAAAAAAAAAAAAATAGCATGTGAAAAGAACATTGTTTCAGCTACAATTTCATCTGAACTCAATAGTTTCGATACGAAGTATAGATACATACATAAACATTTACTAAAATCTAAACAAATATTAGATATGAATTAATTAAAATTTACATTTTTTTTCCATTCAGTGTTCGGTATCCATATTGAAGCCCAATTAAATTCAGATTCACGCCATAAAGTCCTACATTGAGGGTAAAATGTACGCTCCCTAACAAAGATGACTTCGTACCAAGGGACTCGAACCTGTGACATCTGGTTAATGATGAAGGGTGTGTACTTACCACTTTTTGAAGTGCTGGAAATAATGATAAATTATCATTATTTACAAGAAAATTTCTGGCAAAAGATCTTGCTTCTTCTATTTGAGATTCTCCATTGAACATTAAATCTGTGGCTCTATAAACATTGTACATCACATATGTAAAATGTTTTTTGTTCTTTTCTATCTTGTCTCTTATTTGTGGTTGTTGAAGAAACCAACAAAAACTTCCTACAATAGACAAAAAAAAGAATAAAATTATTGAGTGTTTGAACATAAAAAATATTGATAGTAATCTATTTATTTTCCGATAATAAATATTTTTCTCAAAAATAACTTTTGTCGTACCAAAATAATATATTTCACATGACAAAAGTTAAATTATATAAAGTACCTTGATTTATTTTGTAGCCTTGCAATCTAAGAAGCCTAAAAGCCAATGAGTCCTTTAATAATTTCTCTGCTAAATCATCACTTGTTTTTTCTTCTTCTGATGATAATAAATACTCATTATTATTCTGAGAATTATTTATTTGATAATTATTGTAAACTTGGTCAAGAATTTGTTCAATTTCTTTTTCAAAATGTTTAGCCAATCCCATTCTTTGTATATTATCAACCATGCAAAGCATTTTTAGCTCTTCATCCACTGGAAATCTTGAAGGCACTGCCAAAAAAGAGCAAAAAATCATGAAAAATTAAATTAGGATTTAAGAAAAAAAATATTCAACAAAATGAGCAAATAATATGGATATTAGGGTTTATATCCAAGTAAAGATAAAAAAAATATTATAGTAGATGATTTTTTCATATGCCTAAACTTTGATTGATAGAGGTATTTAGTATATGTGCTGGTAAAACGTATAAAGCTTATGCATATACATATCCCATCGAAGGAATAATCGAGTCGCGTGCTGATTAATCCAAATACCATAGTATTACCTTTGTTTTATTTATATGTTTTAGTTTGACTAAACACGATAGGTAAATAAAATGAGACATCTGAATTCTGTGTTTTTTAATGTACCAAAATATTCATCAAAAATATGTCATGTCAGGATATAGGAATAAGTAAACAATTACTAAATATAAAAAACAATATCCCTTTTTTAAACAAACTTTAAAAAAAAGTAAGACACGTAAATTGAAATCGTAAGAATATTTATAACAAACCTCCATTGGGACACTTTTGAACAATTGACATGAGGTATTCGAGGCATTTTTTATTTCCACTAGACATGAAAGCTTGTGCTATGGAAGATGGAGATTGGAACAAAGAACCATCTTCTTCATTAACAATATTATCATTGAGCTTTCCACTGAAAAAAGGGAAAAAATAAGAAAAAAAATGGTGAATATATAATTAAAACCTAGTAAAACTATTTATTTTTCTTTGTGAGACAAGTTTAATATATAGAGTCTGTTTGTTCGGAATGAAATATATATATATATATATATATA